GAAGCCATTTATGATCACATAGTTGTTTGGCTCTTTTTTAAATCATAATGACAACAGAAATCACCCAAATGGCCAATCAAAAGTTTACATACCCTGGAATGTGTGCCCTGGTACAGACACACAAGGTGACACACACACACACACACACATTAAAGTGGCAATTAAAGGTTAATTTCCTTTTCTTTTCTTTTAACAACACTCTGTAAATGTCTGGGAACTGAGGAGACCAGTTGCTGGAGTTTTGGGCAAGGAATATTGTTCCATTCTTGCCTAATATAGGACTCTAACTACTGAACAGTCCTATGTCTTTGTTGTATTTTTCCTTTCAAGATGTGCCAAATATTTTTATATGATGAAAGGTCTGGACTACAGGCAAGCCAGTTAAGCACCCACAAACGTCTACTATGAAGCCATGCAGTTGTTATAGACGCAGTATGCGTTTTAGTATTGTCCTGGTAAAATATGCAAGGCCTTCCCTAAAAAATATGTTATCTGGTTGGGAACATATGCTGCTTTAACACTTGGATATATCTTTCAGCACTGATCGTGCCTCTCCAGATATGCAAGCTGGTCATTTCATACGCAGTAATGCCTCCTATACCAACAGAGATGCAAGATTTTGAATCGAGTGCTAATAATAAGCAGGAAGATCGCTCTCCTATTTAGTCTGGAGGCTGCAGCACCCATGGTTGCCAAAAAGAATGTCAAATTTTAATTTGTCTGACCACAGAATTGTTTTTTACTTTGCAGAAGACCACTTTAAATGAGCTTTGGCCCAGAGAAGATGGCAACTAAGATTTTTGGAAGTATTCCTGAGCCCATGCAGTGATATCCATCACAGAATCATGCCCATTTTTAATGCAGTGTTGTTTGAGGGCCTGAAGATCAAGGGCATCCAAAATTGCGTTTCAGCCTTGCGCACAAAAAGATTTCTGTAGATTCTCAGAATCGTTTGATGATATTATGTACTATATATGATGATATAAAGTCTTTGCAATTTATGTTGAGGAACATTATTCTGAATGTTTAACAATTTTTATACAAAGCTTTTCACAGATTGGTGAATCTTTGCCCATCTTTACTTCTGAGTTCTGAGACATGCTGACTTTTGAAGATGCTCTTTTTATACCATATTATGTTACTAACCTGTTACTAATTAACCTAATTAGTTGCAAAATGTTCTTCCAGCTCTTCAGTGTTAGTACCACTTACCTTGCCAGCTTTTTGTTGCCATGTCTCAAATTTTTTGAGATGTATTGCTGCCATCAATTTCAAAATGATCTTTTTTTTTAACCATTTCCAGCCCACGTACATAAACATTCGGACGGGAGCAGTGCAGGTGCAGGTGGCAGTTTATAAACGGCCTTCACATTCACTGCCTGTGCGCACTCCCTGGGAGCATGCGACACCGCGATCCGGGACCTGTGTGTGAGGTCCCGATTCATGTGTTCACTGATTAGCCAATCAGTGATCACAGGAACAGTAGTAAACAAGATGTCACTTCCTGACATTATTGCTTACTACGTGCAAAATCTGTGAATGATCACAGAGGTCACATGGTACAAGGCAATTCACAACAACCTTGTACCATGAGCAAGCTGTGACCATTCACAGCTCTCACAGTAATTCTCAATGGTTGCAAGAATGCAGAAATTATTGCTTTTACAGCCTTTATGGGTGTAAAAGCAGTCAGTGTAAAAAAAATCTTCACCACCCCCCACAAGTAGTACAGTGTCACTATGGTGACACTGTACTGCTAGGGTGAAGGTATGTTAAAAAAAAACATAAATAATAAGATAAAAATGTAAAAACATTTTTTTTGAAAAATTATCATTTTTGGTTATAAACTAATTTTTGTTATTTTTTGTTTTACTAAAAAGATAGATGAATACATTTTGGCCAAGATTTATGAAGAAAGATTATTTATTTGCAAAATGTTCTAAGAAAAACACTTTTTTTTTTCAAAATGTTTGGACTTTTTCATTCATATTGCAAAAAAATAAAATGGTGGTGAATAAATACCACCAAAATAAAGTGTTATCTGTCTCGAAAAAATGCAAAAACATTTATATGGGTACAGTGTTGCATGACTGTGCAATTTTTATTTCAAAGTCTGATAGCTGAAGATTGGCCTGGACAGGAAGGGGGTGAAAGTGTCCGGACCTGAAGTGGTTAAAATTGTCCATTTTCTCAGCTTAAACATTTGATGTTTTCTATTTCCTATTGTGAATGAAATATGGGTTTATGAGATTTGCAAACCATTGCATTCTATTTTTATGTAGTCCCAACTTTTTTTTGGAATTAGGGCTGTAGAAAAAAATAACAGCCATGCATGAAAAATGATTGCACTACCGCTATCCATTTAGAGAAAAATATTAGAAATGCAGTATACTATGAATACTAGTAAAAAAAATGTTGCAGTTATAATTGTTTATTTTTTTAATTTATTAAATAATTACAATACTGAATATTGTACCTGAATACAATGCAGTATTGTATTGCACTAATGTAGTTAATATATGGAAAATCCAGTAAACAGTTACCTTACATGGCAGAAATACATCATTTTGGTACATATCTATAGTACAAAGTAATTTAAGCTGGGCAAATTGCTCATTTTAAACAAAGCTGGTAAAAGTAAATAATACCAGTATGTGAGAGGGCACTATAGGCAACAGAAATGACTGCAATAGGTTATTTCTGTACTGAAAGATAGTTTAGTTCACATTCTGTGCACCTAATGTTCTCCTGAATGTATCTGTAATATTGTGGTTTTTTATTGTGGGTATAAATGGTAAGTGAAGGTTGTTACTCTAGCTCGACAAAAGAATGTTTCAGGTTTCATCACCTTCCTTTCTTATTTATAGTTTATAAAAAAAACTGCCTGATCGCTAAGTGGCTTGATACCCTACCTAATACAACTGACAACTAAAAGATTCAGGAGCAAGACTTTTATATGCTGTGTAGTATTATAAACCTTAAAGCGGAGTTCCAGCTGAAAAAAAAAATACAGCCACTTACTTGTCCCTCTGTCCAGCGGTGTCCTCACCAACGCTGGTTTCAACGGCCGTCTTCTCTCCCTGGTGCTGGCATCTTTAGTCTGGGCACCCGGCTGTGACAGCTTGCGGCTTCACAGTCGGGTGCCCACTATGCATGTGCAAGAAACACTGTGCTTTGTGAATGGCCCCGTAGTATTCTGGGACCTGTCACGTGTCCCAGAAGACTACAGGGAGGGAAGGAGGGAGGACAACTTCTGCTTCCGATCGCCTAGGCGATTGCAGCAGAAGTGGGAGCGGGTACCTATCAAATTTGAGGAACTTCCCCTTTTGGGTGGAACTACGCTTTAAGATAATTCAGGACTAAAACTCAAAGTGGTATCAAAACACATAACAAAAAAATTTACATATTGCAGCTTACCAATCATTAGATGTGGTGGCTGCATTTGTTTTCTTTTTCCAGGCTTTTTCCCCCTCTGTATTAACTTGGTGATCTGACCAATAACATACCTCGGGAGAGATTTACTAGAACTAGTGCACTTAGAATCTGGTGCACCTGTGCATAGTAACCAATCATCTAGGTTTTATTGTCAAAGCTTAACTGAACAAGCTGAGGTTAGAAACATATTGGTTACTATGCACAACTGTAGTTTGTTAGTGTATTTAAATCTGGACATGTATCTAACACCCCCCCCCCGCCCAGATTAACAGTGCTTCTTTCCATAGGTGTGCACCAGTTTTAGTAAATCTCCCCCCCCCTTCTGTATTACAGTGCCCCCACTCAAGATGAAGGAGCGCAGGGGCACATATGGAAAGAAACACTGTTAATCTGAGGGGTGTTAGATACATGTGCAGATTTAAATACACTAACAAACTGAAGCCAAACTCCAGCTAATACTTTTTGAGCAATTAAAGCAAACAGATTTGTTCCTTTTAGGATAAAGGTTTTACATAAATAAATAAAAGCTGATTATAATAAGCACCCCTGCCAATGTTAAATAGTTTTCTCATCCCTGTAACTGAAACATTTGCAGGAAAGCTTGTTCTTTTGAAAACAGGCTTACTGGCCAGATCACCAACTGAAAATAAAGGAAAGAAATCCTAAAAAAAAGAAAACTAATGCAGAAATCACATCTAAGAATTGGTAAGCTGCAACATATTAAATATTTGCGTCCAGGTTTAATACTGCCTTAACAAGTACATTTCTGGCGGATTTCAAATTTCCTGGTTAGGCATATTTTTGATTAATTTATAGATGATGCCCAAACAGATAAAAAAAAAAACACAATTTAATCCAGTTCTGTTATGTAAGGGTATTTACATTCATTTAACATTGATGCCTGAATCTGTCGTAATATTAGTCTCTTAATTTTGAGAGAGCCAATGAAGATTCTATTGCTTTGGACAGAGCTGTTAGTCTACCTCAGGGAATGTACTTCCAAAAGGAGAAAGCACTGAGATCAGTGAAATGTTTTTCCTTCATTAACCAGTCACAAGGATCACAAAGAAGAAGATAACAGCACTGAGACTAGCACTAGTATAGTCTGGTGAAGGAAAGTTGTCTTTTTATGCTGAGGTTTTGTCTTACTAAGAACAGGCTAGAAATGCAGGCAAGGTTAGTATGATGGGGGCCTTTGGATAGGTAGAATAGTGGATCAAATCACAAGTATATTGACTGTGTGTTTAGTTTTAAATAACTGCAAGAGTATTTTTTCAATGTATGGAGAATAATGTGTACCATAGTGAACAATTTTTATTAACTGAATGATTCGCCAATATTTTATTTTTTATCTACATGTACATACTGTATTCAAGCACGACGTTAAAAATAACACAGCTAAGGCTTTAACCACCTTCCGCCCACCATATAGTACAATGACGGGCGCAAGGTGGTTCTCTCGTTCTGATAGGATGTCATATGACGTCCTTCCATTCTCACCACGCATGTGCGACTCAAGGAGCATGCAGCGCGGCGGATCACGGAAAGAGCTGAAGATGTCGGTTCGGTCATGTGATCAGCTATGTCCAATCACAGCTGATCACATGTAAACACGGAAATGCCGGTTATCGGCATTTCTCTCCTCTCGAGCTGTCACGCTGACAGCTCGAGAGGAGAGGAGAGACGGTAATTGGCTTTCTGCAGAGGGGACATGTACACTGATCATCAGGGCACTGATGACCAGTGTGCCCTGATGATCAGTGTGGCCCCAGAAGTGCCACCTGTCAGTGTTCATCAATGCCAGCAGTCAGTGCTCATCAGTGCCAAGTGCGAGTCCCCATCAGTGCCACATCAATGCCACATATCAGTGCCCATCTAAGCTGCCTTTCAATGTCACCCATCAGTACCAGTCAGTGCCACCTATCGATGCCAATCAGTGCCACCTATCAGTGCTGCCAATCAGTGCCACCTATCAGTGCCAGTCAGTGCCGACTATCAGTGTCAGTCAGTGCCGCCTATCAGTGCCAGTCAGTGCTGCCTAACAGTACCAGTCAGTGCCGCCTATCAGTGCCAGTCAGTGCTGCCTATCAGTGCCATACATCAGTGTCATGTATCAGTGCTGCCTTTCAGTGCCCATCAGTGATGCCTGTCAATGCCCATCAGTGCAACCTACCAGTGTGTCCTCATCAGTGCCCATCAGTGCCACCTATCAGTGTCCATCAGTGCAGCCTATCAGTGCCCATCACTGCAGCCTCATTAGCGCACATCAGTGAAGGAGAAAAATAACTTATTTACAAAATTGTATAACAAAAACTAAGAAAAATGTTTTTGTTTTTTTTTTTAATTTTCAGTGGTTTTTGGTTTGTTTAAGAAAAAATAAAAATCCCAGAGGTGATTAAATGCCACCAAAAGAAAGCTCTATCTGTTTCAAAAAAATGATAAAAATTTCATACGGGTACAGTGTTGCATGACCGCGCAATTGTCATTCAAAGTGTGACAGCGCTGAAAGCTGGAAATTGGCCTGGCAGGAAGGGGGTATAAGTGCCCTGTAGGCAAGTGGTTAAATTTGATTTACACTTTTTTGTTTGATATCTATTACATGTAAAGTACTTTTATTACTTTGCCCAATAATACACTACATTTAGTGTATATCGACTATGAAAATGGGTCTCAGGCAATGTCTTAATCATTTCAATGAAAACAATAAAAACCAACATTACAAATCTATATGACCTTCCTATTTAGGGTCATGTACAATTAATAACAGAAACATCTCATAATTAAAAGGCATTAACTCAGGCCTTCCTGCTGTAAGTAGAGACTTTAACTGTACATGGTACGATTATAGTGCATACATAGTAATTGTCTTTGAAACACTTGCAACAGTTCATGCTTTCTATCACACTATCTCAGACATTAAAAGACATCTAAAGACATTTAAAAAGGAAATGAACATATGTAAAACCTGCATGAAATGTAAATACATACAGTCATCAGAACACAATTTTTTTCAGCAACAGTGGACCTTTTATGGACTAGTTTTATGGTATATGGACAGACTGGCAAAAAACTAAAGAGCTGTAGATATAAAGATAACGAAAAACTAGCTGACAGTAAAACGCATACACTGTTAATTTATGTGACTTTTAAGGGTCCGTTTACATGGGGCGGACTCTGCTTGGGATCTGCTTGCTCAGCAGGGGATCTGTCTGCTGACCCTATTGAGCAGGTAGATGACAGGTCTGTGTCTGCTTAACTTTGCTGCACTTATGAAGAGCAGACACAGCACGCTCTCCTATATGGGTGGTCAGATGTAAACGGACCGCCTGTCCGTTTACACCCGACTGCCCTTAGATTGGATGTAGGAGGGTGTAAACGGACACATGTCCATTTACACCAGCCGTTCCATGAAGGAGAATGGAGATTCCAATTGGGTCTGCATGAAAAATGGACATGCGGATCAGATCGGAATGCTCGTTTGAAAAGAGCCTAAGCATACTGTGACAGCCAGCCAATAAAAAATACTGGTTGTGTTCAGGACTGGAAGTATTTGTCTCAGATTCAGGCAGTTTGCTGAGTATTTTTATTAAGTGAGGGAACTGAGGTTGTTTGACTGGTTAATTAGATAGGGAACCCAGATGAAAGAGGTCTGGTTATTCTGGGCTCTATAACATTATCAGACTGCTTAGGGATTTTGATCCAACATGGAACCAGTTCCTGTGGATGTCTGGTTGTTTACAGAGAACTGCTGTTTGCTGTGACTGTTTAAAGTGCTGCGAACCAATTCAAGGGGTCAACCACACCTTGTTGCTGAACAAATTCCTTATAGTAAATGTACTTACATGCTGTTCAACACACACCAGCCACAATGAGGATCCCCAGAACTCAAGCACTCCCCACATGTTGTATATTGCTCACATAACTCTACAGGAACTCTGGACACCTGAAACAAAGCAGAACAACAAATGCTTACAAAAAGAGATCAGCTTAATGTAAAAATCCTATCAGTATTATAAATTATTAGTTACTAAAAATTTATATACATATATATATATACACACACACAAATAAACAAACACATGCACACACTCTACTGCATCTTTACTAAAGGCAAATAGGTTGTTTGCTTATTGAAGGTGAAGCTCTGCTGACTCCCATCAGCCAATCATTGGCAAAAGTAAAAATACTGTGTGTATATGTATATGTATATATATATATATATATATATATACATATACGGTATATATATGTATATATATTATATATATATATATATATCTGTGGAAATGTTTTCGGTAAGTGTGAAACAATGCAGTAAATTAAAAATGCATTTCAAAATAGAATTGTTAATAGTATATTTGTTTATCAATTAGCTAAATGGAAAGTAAAGGAAACAGAAGAGACATCCAAATTAAACCAATAGTTGGTGTGACCACCCTGTGCCTTCAAAGCAGCATCAATTTTTCAATTCTGCTAGGTACACCTCCTGCTAGAGCTACATTTTTCTGCATCCCAGTTCTTATGTTTTTGTGCATTGCTGAGTCACTTGTTTCTACATCCTATGTACTATATATATGTCATATTTTAATTTTCCTTGCACATAATTGGGTATTTTAGGCAACGTTCAATAGTTCAATTAGACCATATTCATTAAGCTACAAGAAAAATCCCTTGCAAAGTGAACTGCCTATTTCTCTTTAGTAAATCAACCCCTACAAATTAGTCAACTAATTTAGATCAATGCATTTTCCTGTGTGGCTGTTACTGTATCACAGGCAGGGTCGATTGTTAGCACAATAGTGTATGAAAAGCTTGACCTCCTGCACTCAGGTATGGTGCTTAGTTATAAACTGGACTATCCTCTTGGGTAGTCTTTCTAGTATATAGCACACCCACCTTGCTGCCCTCTCAGGACTAGGGTATCCTTAAACAAACTACAAAACAACAAAGGAAAGGATGCACCAACCTAGTGCATTACCATAGCTCAATTTAATTAAAGATATATAGCATCCAAAAACAGATAACACATTTCAAAGGTTAAGCTCTCTTCTGGATCATCCATGCGTTTGGTTCTGAGGAAGAGTGCTTAACCCTCGAAACACGATATTCATTTTTGGACATTATGGGGTCTTCCCATACCATTCACTGACTATGGTGGATTTGGAGGCAGTCTCATCTCTATTTATAGATATGCTTGGGCATGACATGCATTTGTGCGTATTCACTTGTTATATATTGAGCTATGGTTATGCAGTAGATTGGTGCGCCCTCTCCTTTGTCGTTTTGATGATTGTTAGCACAGCCAGCAATTACCCCAAGGGGACACAGATAACAGTAAAAACATGTAAAAGTTTTGAGTACTCCCACAATCTATACAAAACATTTTTGCTTTAAATATACTTCCATACAAGAACAAATACATAGAGAAGCACATATGTGTAAATGTAAAAATCACATAAAACAAAATCAAATATTACTATGCTATTTTCTCTCCAGATCAAATGTGCATTCATTAAAATAGAGTGGTCCAGGAAAACACCACATTATGGCTACTAAATGGAGATGTCATACGCATTTATTTCCTATGATCATCAGCTCCATCTAATGTAGTATTTTGATGATTTACTCTATTTTAACTTAATAATATTCAACCTAGAGAGAAAATAGCCTAGTAACAGTCAATGTTTGCCCCAACAGTGGACCAAGACAGTCAGCATTGGAAAGATGGCTCATCTGGTACTGCAGCATCTGAAGTCTAGAATTTTGGAGTTGGGGCTTCTTCATACTAGCTGCCACCATTGCCTCCCATTTGAAAAGTGATAAATGGTGCATTGCTTTGCAGAGACATTTCACTGGTAGCTCAGAGATAACATGTCGCCTCTTGGACACCTGTTTTAACCACTGAAAACTCACAACACCACTCTGCAACTGTGTGCATTACACTTGGTTGCTCAGGACTTAGCTGCATGGCCCAATCTACATGAATGGGTTGTGATTGGTGACAGTATTGGCTGCCAAACACAATATGTGGTATAATTTTTGCTGCTTTGCAACTGTAGTATGCACTAATATCGCTGGTGGTCATGTTAACTTCAGATCAACCACCTATTTTTAAAGTCTCAGGCCACCCATATAAAAGAGTCCTTACTTCTATTTTTCTATATTACTTCCTTAAACGCTTTCCATCCACTCACAGCCTATAAACTGTGGAAAGGAAGCAGTGTGATGCAGTATTTCAGCCTGCATTGGTGGCTCCTGCAAGGTTCACAGAGCGTACACTCGTAAGCCCCGTGATCCGTGTGTCATCCGGATATAGCAAATCTGTGTCCAGATGATCACATGGTGTTTTATCATGTGATTGCTGTGTTCAATCACAGCAATCAGACAGTAAACATACTAAACAGAGAGTAAACATCAGTTCTCTCTGCTCTCACACAGATTGACTGTGAGAGTGGAGAGAACAGCTACTGCAGCCTGTGAATGTACTCTGCCTGTGACAGTGCATGTACACTCACAGACTGCAGTACTAGCCAGCCCCAGTGTCCCTAATCACTTCCCCCAGTGTAGTAATAAATAAACAAACAATGCAACCAGCCCCTGTCACCTGTCCCAATGTCACCAGTGCTAACAATAACACCACCATAAACCATATCAACGTCCTGATCACCGCCATACCAGAGTTCTGATCACCGCCATACCCCATACCAGTGACCTGATCACTGCCATATCAGCACCCTGATCACCACCATACATGATACCAGCACCCTGATCACCACCATACCAGTGTTCTGATCACCCCATATGCCATACCAGCATCCTGATCACCACCATACCAGAGTTCTGATCAACCCATATGCCATACCAACATCCCAATCACCGCCATACCAGTGTCCTGATCACCGTACTACTCTATACCAGTGTCTTGATCACTGCCATACCCCATAGAAGCGTTCTGAACACCCCATATGCCATACCAGCATCCTGAT